TAATAATAATAGAGGCAGACTTCACTCTCAAATGGCACACAAGATACAAGCTTTTTTTGCTTTTGCCTCACTGGCAGAAACTCTTTGGTACTTTGCTGCATGGTGAACTCCATAGCACATGGGCTTCACTCTGCAATCCTGAGTGATCTGCAAGTGACCCTTTCAGACTATAAAAGATGCTGAAGTGACCACTGCACACATTAGATCTGAAAACAATTGATCAGCTGAGACCATCAGAACCAAGATGGAGGGAACTATTCATTACAGGGACAGCCATAATTAACTATCCAATATTTGAAAAACTAAACCTACATTCCAAGGGAGCAATAAGAAAATAAGAGCTGAATTTTGAACAGTGAGCCTCCTGGACACAGGATGCACAAAGCATCCATTGTACTAATCTCATCAAATGTTTTAACACCTTAGTTACTTTTAACAGATACAACTAGAGCAGAAACCATGAACACCTCCATATATTCGGTGTGCTTTGAGATATTTTAGGAATAGTTTTTCCTAGGTTAAATGGCATCCCCTAGATTTTCTGAGGTTTATTAAGAGCATGTACATGCCCGCGCGCACACACACACACACACACACACACCAGGCCTGCACACTCATGAGTTTATATATTCATTTACACATCAACATTGTGTTTTGCATTGCTTTGCACAAAAAGATGGTCTGATCAGCCATAAAAATGCTACTGTTGATGGGGGTGGGCAGAGATTGCAGAGAGCCATGGATCAGTGTTTGAAACTTGATATTTAAGAATTCATCTACTAGTTCCCACAGAACCAATATCTCTTAAGAAAATAGGAACACAGAGTGTAAGGACAGCTTGAGTGTAAGATATAAGTGTTCCGCCAGAACATCCTCACAGTTTCATCCAACAAATAAATTGAAAACAAACCATTACTCTTTTTTTAAAAGCTCAAAATCAATTCAGTCAGATTTTATTGTTTAGTCATTAAGTCGTGTCTGACTCTTCATGATCCCATGGACCAAAGCATGCCAGGCCCTCCTGTCTTCCACTGCCTCCTGGAGTTGAGTCAAATCAGTCACATTTACCCATTGATATTACTGGGGCTTCTTCTTCTGCTTCACTGATTTCAGTGGGCCTATACTGTATACCAGTGGCCCCCAACCTTGGGCCTCCAGATGTTCTTGGACTTCAACTCCCAGAAATCCTGACCAGCAGAGGTGGTAGTGAAGGCTTCTGGTAGTTGTAGTCCAACAACAGCTGGAAGCCCAAGGTTGGGGACCACTGCTGTATACAATTAAATCATAATCCAACATACAATGAACATGCTAAGTGAACACAAGATGCACTGCTAACCCTGGGGCAGGGAAACACCTGCGTGCTCATATATGGTGCCACCACCGAGTGCAAAAGAGTTAATGACAATGATACAAGACATCCAATGGGCAATGTAATCCTGTCCTTTTTCCTGAGATAAATTTTCCTGCACTCATAGTTGAGATCCTTACCCAGCCATTCATGTGAACCTTTGCAAAAAGAGATTTTACAACCAACTTCCTTCTGAAGTATTTTCCATTGAGAACTTTTTCTTAATGAGTGCAGACATAGCTTAGAAGAAGGTGTCTCTAAACCATTTCCCAGTGCAGTAATTGGAGCATCATAGTTAGAACTGGGTGTGCAACATAATTCTACACCTTCCAAAATTCATACTGGGGTGATATCTTGATTAGGCCAGTTCCGAAAAAAGCTCAAGAAAGTTTAAAATGTACACAAATAATCTACAAAAAGGACAGACATATGGTAGAATACTTGAAAGGAAGGAAGGCAGGAAGGCAGGAAGGCAGGAAGGCAGGAAGGAAGGAAGGAAGGAAGGAAGGAAGGAAGGAAGGAAGGAAAACCTCTAACGCCGAGAGAAGTCCGGAAAGAAAGAACAAGAATCCGGGCCTTCTCGGCAGTGGCCCCTCGACTATGGAACAGCCTTCCAACAGAGATCCGCCTGGCACCCTCGCTGGATGTTTTAAGAGCCATTTAAAAACTTGGCTCTTTAGGCAGGCCTTCCCTTCTGTCAATTCTTGAAATCTATTTCCTTGTTTTCTATCATTCCCCATCTCGAATACACCAAATTATTGATTCAATTGTTTAATGTTTATGATATATTATGATATATGTAAGCCGCCGTGAGTAGACGCTGTCTAGGGGGCAGGGTAGAAATCAAATCAAATCAAATCAAATCAAATCAAATCAAATCAAATCAAATCAAATCAAATCAAATCAAATCAAATCAAATCAAATCAAATCAAATCAAATCAAATCAAATCAAATCAAATCAAATCAAATCAAATCAAATCAAATCAAATCAAATCAAATCAAATCAAATCAAATCAAATCAAATCAAATCAAATCAAATCAAATCAAATCAAATCAAGATAGATAGATAGATAGATAGATAGATAGATAGATAGATAGAAAGAAAGAAAGAAAGAGCTGGTTCTCAAGAGCCAATATATGCTTCACCTTGCAAATTCTAAGAGTTAAATTTACAAACTTATCTGCCAATGACTCCGTTAGCTTCTCCTACAGTACAACCCATCTGTAGAACTTGGAAAATTTAGAATTTTAGAATGATAAGTCCATAAATCCCTTCGCCATCATGACTGAGTGGCAGATTCTGGGAGCTGTCATCCAAAATAAGTAACTTTTCCAAGCTTTGCACCATCTGTGCGTTTCCCCACTTGCCCTGCAGCAGTTTACCCCTCCCTGCCTCAGGGGAAAGGATGCCGTACGCTTCAATGTTTTTGGAGTTTGCTTCCACATCCTTCAAGGGTGCATCAAATTCCAGCTTGACGCGATCGCTCTGGTCCACAGTGAAGATCTGGAGGGAAAAAGAGATGAAAGGTCACAGAACTGAGCCGATGCCTTCAAGAGGGATGTTTGCATTGTGGAAGGAAAGTAGCTAGACAAGCAAGCAGCCTTACATCCAGTGAACTTGAGGAATTCAGGGGAGGTGTTCCATGGTCTTTGGCTTCCACTGTCATCTGGAATTGACCCTTCAAGGAACTCGGTGGGCTGCTCGCAATTCTGTAGGAACAGAGGTATTAGCACTGGAGATTCTTGAACCACCATGGAAACAACTCCCATCCTCATTTTGCAGCACCTTGCATTAGTAGTTTAATTGCCCTGTTCCTAGCTGGAACAGTTCACAGGTAGACGAGATAAGACATATGCTGACCTGGACTATGGGCAGGATCCCATATAGGAAACAGCTAGAAACTGGCTCAATGAGTTCTTTGTAATGTTAATTTTTCAGTTTCATAATAAAAGAAGGCTGCTTTGTAAGATCTAAATGAGGACCCACTCATGGGTTGTATGTGGCTTATTCACTGGAGGTTCTTCCTCCCTGCCATACTCTCTCTCTCTCTCTCTCTCTCTCTCTGTGTGTGTGTGTGTTTTGGAGAAATTTTCCCCAGCCACACCCACTTGACCTCTGACTTTCCTGAAGCTCATACTGGAATCTAAACATGCTTCAAATCTACCTAAAGATATTCGTGGTCAAACTAGGGTTTGGAGAGAGACATTGAGGCCCCCCCACACACACACCCTATGGTGATCCTCACAAAACTTCCAGATAATAAAATCCCATCAATTACTGGATGCTTCCAGTGTAGTTGCCATTGTCTACTGTTGTCACCACTTTGAAAAGATGTTCGTAGTCCTGCTCAAGTCTGTTCTCCTGGATGAAAACAACACTGGAGAGAGCAAATGTGATCACACCATTCAGACCTGAATCAGCATCTGTAGCCTGGAAGAAGAAAGGAAACACTGTTTTCCTTTCCCAGACACTTGCAAAAATCAGAGTCAGTTTCCAGCATAAGTAGAATCTACGTGCTCAGACAATTCCCAAAAGAGACAGAGAAAAAAGCAGAAGGTAATAGTTGGACTTATTGAGATAATGGAAATCTTGCATGCACTAATATAATATGATTTATGTAATTCTTTGTATTATTTTATTGTTTATATTCACTGGAAGCCGCCTAGAGTGGCCTTTTAGGCCAGATGGGCGGGGAATGAATGAATGAATGAATGAATGAATGAATGAATGAATAAAGAAATAAAGAAATAAATAAATAATACTGGGTTTCAATGGGAGGGGCTTTACAGCCTAATGTGATTGTGCTTCCATTGTTTTCTTAATAACCCCTCTTCTCTCTCTCTGACTATCCTCCAAGCAGCAAGCATACGGGGACTCCTGTATGTTGAAGACTCCATTCCCCACCACTACCACTTTCCCTTTGCCTGTAACTACATATAGTTACAGTAAGTAGAGACAACTTTTTCTATTTTAAATGTTTCTAAACTGGTTTTTACCATACAAAGTGCTAGTTTTGTGTGCAAATCATGGAGAGTGTTTAGTGAACCTGAGCTGATCTCTCTATGCTTCTGTGTTTATTCTGCCTTAAACTCTGCTAACTAAAGGAATAACCAAATTCCTAGACACTCCTTCCTCCCCCCCCACACACACACCCTGTTTTTAACTAATATCCTCCTGTAGAACCTACAATCCACAAAATAAATAAAATCGAAGCATTGGTGAATTATAGCCATGATGAGGAAATTGTCAAAAAGAAAAATTTGAGAACAATCTCCACTATTCGTTTCTGTGGAGAAGATTACATGAAACTCAGTCATCAAACATAACTATACATAGCACGGAGTGCACTCTCTTACCGTTACCGCAGCTACTTGGAACCCTACTGCAAAGACCTCTGGAATTAGCACTGCAACAAAATTCAAAAGTGGATCAGATATGTCAAGAACGAGACACGATGGCAACATCTTTTGCATAGGTCCAATCTCTAACTACAAATGGCCCTCAGATCTTAAGCACATGTTTTACAGATGCCTGAATCTGTGAAGCATGTGCAGATGTGTTCTCCAGTTAGGTTCTTTGTATCAAGCTAAGGAATGCTTGATACAAAGTGGGTAACTCTTCTCCTAACTGTTGGCTAGGCCAGCAGCTCTCAACCTGTGGCCCTCCAGATGTTGGTCCAGCCATCATCTCCAGCCATCATGATCAATGTTCAGGGGTTGAGTCCCATCATCATAGGCATCCTTCAGTCTAGCCATCATTATCAATGTTCAGGGGTTGACAGTTTAAGTCCCATCATCATAGGCATCCTTCAGTCTCGAGAGACCATGGTAACATGCTCTGAATTGAGGAGTGTCCTGTCCAGAGCATGAATCCTGGGTAAAGTAATATGGAGGATAGGCTGTTACCCAAGCAGCAAACCCCCCTCTCCACATTGCTGAAATGGTCCAATGGAAAGGCATATCAATGTTCAGGGGTTGACAGTTTAAGTCCCATCATCATAGGCATCCTTCAGTCTCGAGAGACCATGGTAACATGCTCTGAATTGAGGAGTGTCCTGTCCAGAGCATGAATCCTGGGTAAAGTAATATGGAGGATAGGCTGTTACCCAAGCAGCAAACCCCCCTCTCCACATTGCTGAAATGGTCCAATGGAAAGGCAAGAACCAATACAACTGGTTCCAGCAACGTCGCAGGAGTTGGCAGAACGAAACAAACTGCCTTCGGGACTCCAGCTCCGGATTTTAAGTCCCAAACATCTGAAAAATCACTATAGACTTCAGAAAAAAGGTCAGACCCGATTCATATTACTGTAGTAAGAGAAGGGGAGTTTTAAGATGGAGGAGCTGCCTGAGATGCTTTCTGAGAACTGCAATGAGTTACAAACCACAATGAGTTGTGTGGATGAATCTTATTGTCTCAGACTCAAAGAGGAGTTTCCTGCCAAAGTCCCAAGCATCTGAAAAATCACTATAGACTTGAGAAAAAAGGTCAGACCTGATTCATATTACTGTAGTAAGAGAAGGGGAGTTTTAAGATGGAGGAGCTGCCTGAGATGCTTTCTGAGAACTGCAATGAGTTACAAACCACAATGAGTTGTGTGGATGAATCTTATTGTCTCAGACTCAAAGAGGAGTTTCCTGCCATTGAATCAAAACAGAATTTTTGTCTGCAGTAGGAAGAGTACATAATCTTTATTTATTTACTGTATTACATTTATGAGAAGGATGTCCAGGTCCCTGTTGGTGGGCCATCACACCTCTCCCCAGGGACACTGTAGTTCATAACTTCGAGTTCACCTGCTGTTTGGGACACCATGATTGTCCCTGAAGAAGTGGAAAAAGAGATGGGAACAGAAACTGAACTGAGGGAGGGGTCTGTGTGCAAAAAGGACAACCCCTAGAGGAGGATGGGGAGGAAGAGGAGGAGGATATAAAAGAGGAGGACAAGATGGGAAAGAGGAGAGGAGGGTGGAAGGTTGGGAAATAATGAAGAGATGCAGTGGAGGAACCTGATAGTGGAGGCACAGCTAGTGGAGATAACAAGTAATGAAGCGGAGAAGTACATGGAAGAATGGGAGGAGATAATTGAAGAGGATCCCTGGACAAGGGAGTTAGGGGCCTTTAGGGCTCCTAAGGTGGAGGCCATGAGACTTCGTACAGTACAACTTCCTCAAAAGCTTTCTTACTGGGGGGTGCAGGAAAGTTGGGAGGGACATCCTCAAGCACAGACTTTGCTTTAGCTGGGAAAGTCAGATAAGGCCGTGGCACCCCGGCCCTAAACCCAGGACAGGGGCTGTCAAACACCTCTCCCCAAGAAAACACTGCTTGGAGGAGAGGAGAGTTGCCCGTATATTCCCAGTGGGGTTCTATAAGTCATCCCTGCTGCAGCACCTTTTGTCTCACATATGTGAAACCTTTGGTATGCCCCAAAGGGGGTTGGGGGTATTGACATCAACTTCAGAGAAGGAAATGCCTCAGACAGAGCCCCAGTGGGTTGTTGAGTAAGAATTGTTAAGTTTGGTCAAAGCTGAAGAATTTTAAACTTGTTAAAACTTTAGATAGTGAATTGTTAATAATAATAATAATAATAATAAAAGTGGTTTCACAAGCTCCTGGTCCACATGTCATGGAGGTAAATGTGGGTGAAGGAGACGTGGCAGGAATGGTGGTTGGTGGAAGGAATCACAACATTTATACCTCACTTTCCCACTAAAAGATAGTACTCAAGATGGCTTGTGCACTTTTTAAAAGAACAAAAACAGATAGAACCATATTTAGCTAAAAATGGCTATATTCATACAAACCTGGAAACAAGATCTTAATGTCTGGACAGGCTTGTAAACAAGACATACCCTCTCATTAAAAAGACATAAAAGAGGAAACTTTGAAGTAGTTTCACATGCGGCTGCTACCTATCCACTAGAGCATTGGTTCCCAACCTTGGGTCCCCAGATGTTCTAGACTACAACTCCCAGGAATCCTGTCCAGCATAGTCAGTGGTGGTGAAGGCTTCTGAAAATTTTAATCCAAAAACATCTAGGGACCCAAGGTGACTAACCACTGCACCAGAAGGCACTAATGGCATGTCATGAGGACTACAACTCTTATGCATGTGGTTCTCACCAAAGGGACCAGTGATAGAATTGATGATTGGTGGGTTGTCATTCACATCAATAATCAAGATCCTCAGAGTCTCTGCAAGAAAAAAAAAGGCATAAAAGAGGAGAATATAGTCACTGCCAGCACATCTGTGCAGGTCCTGTCTGTGCATCCACAAGTAAGAGGCATAGACCTGCTCCCAGCTGATCACAGAACATAGAGGAATGGAGCTGAAAATAAGCCCTATCAGGCCATCAAGTCCTACCCCCTGCTCAATGCAGGAATCCAGATCAATGCAGATCTGACAGATGGTTGTCCAATTTTCTCTTGAGTGCCTCCAGCATTGAAGCACTCATCATTTCCCATGGTTCCATTGTTCTAACAGTTAAGAAGTTTTAAGAAGTGTCAGTGATCAGACTAGTGATGATGATATTGCTTCCACGGCCATCTTTCTGTGAGCTAAATTAGGGGTAGAAATGCAGATAAGAAAAGAAAGCAACTGTACATAATCCCGTTTACCAGTACTGAATATCCAGTTAGCAGAAAACCAAATCCATTTCAAGGACAGAGATAAGGCAGATGGCTTAGGTGGACAGAAAGCATGACTGTGTTACCAAGGCTGTCTCCCCTGAGTTAACTTCTCTGCAGCCTGATGGAGTTTCGTGCCCAGAAGCAACTTTTGTTGAGATCGAAACAGCTGCAGGTAAATTCTCTTTCATTCTATGCTTAAAATCTCCCTGTCCCCGTCCCTGCTTTAGAAATGACACAGGGCAAGCTGTGCTGCTGTTATACCTAGCTGCGCTCTCATCCCAAGTCAACTGAGGCCCAACTTTTGGATCAACTATGCCCACAGGTGAATGAAGCTATCGAAACGTGTGCATATACTAGTCTCAGCTTCTAATTGTCCTACTTATTTATCCCAGCAACTTTTCTATACGATGTATGTTTTAATACTGTAAACCGCCTTGGATTCTTTAGGAGAAAGGCAGCATATAAATATTTTGAATAAATAAATAATAAATATGTTGTCTTTCAGCGGAGTACATCGTACCACCAGCAGTCCTGCCAGGCTCTCTGAAGCATCTCCTGCTAGAATAGAAGACTTGTTGCAGCAGGACAAAAAAATAAAAATAAAAGAGATCGAGAAGCTTGTATAGTTGAAAGGTTGCCAGAAGTGTGAAGCCAAGTGCTCCTTTAAATAACTTACCATTTTTACTGTACGGGTCTCCCTCCTCAGTAAATTCATCCTTAACACGCAGTGTGAGTTCCACTAGATCACAGGCTATATAACTGATCTCAGAACTATTGACAAAAAGGGAGCCATTGGGATCCAGATAGAACCAGTTCTGGCATACGCTGCCCACATTGGACGAGCTCTTGAGGCATGCTACAGCTAACTTCTCAAATACCAGTGAGTGGTTGGTGTCCATGTCCCTGGCTTCCAGCCTGGTTACTAACTCATGTAAGGTCACATTCTCTAAGACATCAACATCATGTGGAGGAGAGGGCACAAGAATTGGGGGCTCATCATTGACATCCAGCACATTCACTATCACCACAGCAGTGTCAACATCAACTGTTCCTCCAGATTCTAAGTTTTCAGCCTGTACAGTCAGATTGAGGAACTTCTGTGGCATCTGGTCATAGTCAAGGGCAATGGCCAGACTCAAGATCCCCTGGTACCAGCCAGGACCCAGGTAAACAGAGCGCATTACGAAGTTACTCGAACTCGCACTTGTTTCAATGTAGAATGAGATACGGTTGTTGATTTGTGTCTGATCAGCATCTGTGGCCTCCACACTTCCCACGATTCCTGGGGATGAAAGGTTAGTTATGACTATACTGCAAATCACTTAGCCTGATCAATCTTAAGAGAAAATACAACCTCAGTTGCTCATGAAAGAAATGTCCAGGATTGCAAAACCTAATCCAGATTCCTGCATTGTCAACCTTCTCCATGCCCCATTCCCAAGAAGTCTCATCATAATCTCAATTCATCTGCTATTTCAACCTCTCCTTTCTGGTGTTATTTCAAGGTGCTGGTCATAGCACAGAACAAGCTGTAGAAGAACATATATGGAGAAGCACTCTTGCCTGCATTAATCATCTTGTCCTTTAAAGCAATGGTCCCCAACCTTGGGCCTCCAGATGTTCTTGGCCTACAGCTCCCAGAAGCCTTCACCACCATCTCTGCTGGCCAGGATTTCTGGGAGTTGAAGTCCAAGAACATCTGGAGGCCCAAGGTTGGGGACCACTGCTTTAAAGATATAAGAGATATGTTCTGAGTATCACAAATGCCAGATAGCTGTTAAGTGGAGCTTATATATGAGTGGCCCTTTAACACCAGAACTCACTGCAGGTCAACGTATAAGCCATTATCAGACCTGGCCCAAAATATACAAAGGAAAGGTTCTCCCTGTAAAAAAATAAAAATAAAATGGAGCAGTCCCTTTATTCTGGAATTCTCAAGTGAAGGAATCTTGTAGTTTAGAAAGCTTGCACACAATTTTCTTTTTCTCTTTGTTTGGCCTTTTGAAATCTCATTGTAATATGGAGTTTGGATTTAGTACTTTATTGGTCAAAATGGCTTCCTCTGCCTCCTTCGTTCCTCAAAATGCCTCCCTGAGTGGGCATGTTCATTTTTAGGAAAGCCCATAAGATGTTGCTTTTCCAGAAGGCTGTTCATCAAACTATTTGGATTATTCTTTGTTTGTTTTAGCTATTACAAAGTACAGTAATGTCCACTTCTTTGGGTTGGATTTCCTTTTCCTTTTTAAAACACACCAGATCATTACCCTTGCATCATGCTAACACTCTTCAAATACTCTTCGAGAATACTCTTCAAATACTTTCTAATTCAGCCTATGAATCAGAAATGCACAGTACCTTTCACGCCTTCCTGAACAAAGAACTCATAAAATGGACTGTTGAATCGGGGAGCATTATCATTTATATCCTAAAGAGAAAACAGGAGAAAACAGATAGCTTTCTGTTCAAACGTCTGTGCTCAAGAGAACGTACAACAATTGGGCAGCAATGGCAAAATTACATGAAGACATACTGAGGTTCTTATATTCTATTGACAGGGAGGGACAGTGTGGCATGTGAGACCCCAAGTATTATGGCTATCACATGCTTTGCTGCAAGAGAGAGAGAGAGAGAGAGAGAGAGAGAGAGTTTTCTAGGACAGTGGTCCCCAACCTTGGCCGTCCAGATGTTCTTGGACTACAGCTCCTAGAAGCTTTCACCATCACTTCTGCTGGCCAGGATTTCTGGGAGTTGAAGTCCAAGAACATCTGGAGGCCCAAGGTTGAGGAGCACTGTTCTAGGAGACACAGTGGCATATAGTGCCCAAACAGAGCCACATCAAGGTACATACTGCCTAATACCAACCAAGTTACTCTGTTTAATAAGAATAAGAATGATGGAAATTTGGAAAAGGAAACACCCACACAGTGGCATAAATGAACAATGATTAATGGACCAGAGAAGGTTTATCATCCGGAGTAAAGTGTTTTCAGAACTGGAATTGAAAGAAATAGAAAAGGTGGCAAAATCAACACAGAACAATGACCATTATATGGAAGACAAATGGAGGGCAAAAGTAGACCCAACAGTGGAAGAAAACACAGCAATAGAGGAACAATGTATGTAACAACCCAGAAATTATGAGCTGTCAGAATGGCAAACATCACCGTGGGAAAAAGTAGTAACCCATATTAGCCAGAACACAGAAAGACAAAGGCTCCCCAACTTGCGCCAATTACAAAGTAAACCAGTAAAACATCTACTGATTGATGCATATGTTGTCATCAGAACAATCCCAACCAACACACTAATGGAAACAAGCCAGCTCATGTATAGCACAGCTACCATAATAACCATGGAACTTGGTTACAAGCAGCAAAAACAAAAAACAAAAAACAGAAAACTTGTGGCATTACAAAATGGAAAATTTGGCTGGAAAGAAAAATAAACAAATTACGTACAGACATTAGCAACTCAAAACACTTGAAAGATTCAAACCTCAAAAATGAAAAAATAAAAGCCAGACTATGCAAACTATATGGCCTGGAAAGGAAAACAATCTTTGAAACTATGGAAGAATTAAAACAGTGGGTAACAACTACAGCAAAGAAAACTGAAATATATGATGGAAGTTTGAAACAATATCGAGAAACATGCAATTTCTAAATAACCAACAATTATAATATATATATCACTAGGAGAAAATGAGGAGCAAAAGAAATTAGGCCCATGTAAAGCAATGCTCTAAAATTTTGGAAAGAATGTGGGAAATGCCTCATGGATTAAATACATTTTTAAAGAAACTAATGGAAAACAAATGGATGATATTGTAATAACAACTGAAAGGATCAAGAAGAAAGTTTGTGAAAAATTGGAGCATACCTGGTGCAGATGAGCTGCACAGATTTTGGTTAAAGCATCTAACAGGTCTCCATCAAAGTATAGCAATGCAGTTTAACCACTTACTTCAAAATTCTACAACTGAAGACTGGATGACAACAGGCTGCACATTTCTAATAATAAAATATCATTAAAAGGGCAATGAACCCAATAATTATCGACCAATTACATGCCTTCCAACAATGTTCAAGCTCCTCATAGGAGTACTGGCAAGATCAATATATAATTACTTAACTGAAAATTCTCTATACCCAACTGAACAGAAAAGGAACTTTAAAAAGTCAAGAGGAATGGAAGATCAGCTACTTATTGATAAAATTATACTGAAGAATGCAAAATGATGAAAAACAAACCTTAACATGGCCTGGATAGACTATAAAAAGGCATTTGACTCATTGCCACACAGCTGGATTAACATCTGCCTAAAAATGTTTGGGATTAGTAAAATCATTCAGAAGTTCCTCAAGAAAAACATTGAAAAATCGAAAACTATCTTAATGGCCAATGGTGAAGAAATTGTGGAATTAGCATCAAAAGAGGGATATTTCAGGGGGATTCTTTGTCACCTCTTCTGTTTAACCTCTCACTAATCCCCATATCAATAATTTTAAATAAAACTGAATTGGGCTACCATATTTAAGAACAAGCATGAAAATTTAATCACCTCTTATACATGGACAACCTAAAACTGTATGCAGAAAGTTCCACGGAGATAGAATCACTGCTAAACACAGTGCAAATATTTAGTGAAGATATCCAAATGAAATTTGGAATTGACAAATGTGCATCTCTGTCTATACACCATGACAAGATCCAAAACCTAGATGGAATAGAGTTTAAAAATGGCAATATTATAAAATCACTATCAAGTGAAGGAAATTATAAATACTTTGGAATACTAGAAGCAGATAACATTGAACACACAAAAGTTAAAGAACTGACAGAAAGGGGATATATTAAAAGGCTGCAGAAAAATCTTAAAAATCAAAATTAATGGTGGAAATACAATCGAAGCCATAAAGACATGGGCAGTTCCAGTAATTAGATATCCAGCTGGAATAAAAGACTGGACTCAAAACAAATTAGAAGAATTGGGTCAAAAACAGAGAAACCAACGAACATGCATCACACACTATATCCAAAAAGTGATGTGGACACATTTACCATGAAAAACTGCAGGCCATGGATTACTGGAAATACAGCAGGTAGTAGAGGAGAAAAATGATTATATCAGTACAGGCAGAGAAAATTTGCTTAATGCAGTGAAAATGGAGATTATTTTGAAAACAACAGAAACAAAGGCTCAATATAAGAAATAACAATGTGAAAATAAATCAAACAGTTGGAAAAATAAACCACTACATAGACAACACCAGAGAAATATTGATGGAAAACATGATCATAATTCAATATGGGCATGGCTAAAACTGGGGACCCTTAAGAAAGAATCTGAATGCTTGATTTTTGCTGCACAAGAACAAGCACTCCAAACCAAGGTGATGAAAGCTAAGATACAAGGAATTAGTGCTAACAGCAAATGTCGACTCTGCCAAGAAAAAGATGAAATTGTGTCACGCTCATCTGTGAATGTCCAAAGATTGCACAAACAGATTACAACGTTACATATGATAGAGTGGCAAAATTAGTGCATTGGTCATTATGCAAAAAAAATATAACTTGATAGCCTCCATAAACCCATGGGAACATCCAGCAGAAAAGGTCTCAGAAAATGAGGAAATAAAGATCTTGTGGGATTTCCAGATCCAAACTGATAAGACACCTTGAACATAACACGCTAGACATAGTAGTAATAGAATGAAGAAATGTCTGGATCATTGACTTTGGGGATGCCAGAGTTGAAAATTAAGAATGGGAAAATCTAACAAAGTACAGAGACCTGACAATCAAAACATCTCGCCTCTGGAAGAAACATGCTCGAGTGGCCCCCTTAGTCATTGGGGCTTTGGGAACAATATCAACAAATTTCACACAGTACTATAAGCAGTTGCAAATCTCAGAAATCACGCCATCAGAGCTACAAAAATTGGCAATATTAGGAACAACATACATACTGCATCGATATTTAACAGATACTTAGGTTTTTGGTTAAAACTTGTATCTGCTATATAATACCACTCAATGTTTTTATAATTTTGACTGTGCCTGGAGTTTTTGAAGGAGAAGAAGGAGAAGGAGAAAAATTCATCAAGTAAATTCTGACTTATGGCAATCCTTTCTAGGGTTTTCTAGGTAAAGAGTACTAAGTATCATTCCCTTCTTCTGGGGCACCCTGGGACTGTGCAGCTTGCCCAAGGCCACATAGGCTGGCTTTTCTCCCAGGAGGCACTGCCAAATGAGATAGAAAATCTCACATGTGCCTCTCCTCCCTTAGAATTAAAATAACAAATCAAACTGAACAATTTGCTGCCTTTTCATGACTCCTGAAATACTGTATGCTCTCCGACACAGCTGCCTCCCTCTGCCTGATGGTTACAATGTGTGCTGCTCATGATTACATCCCTGCCCGACCTTCTGGAAGAGGTAAGAGCCCTATTTAAGTCCTAGTCCTAGTCAGCATCTCTAGATATCTTTTTTTCCAAGTTCCAGGAAAGGCGTGTGATTACCTCCACAACAATGGTCACATTGACGGTGGTATTCAGCTGAGGGATGCCCATGTCATGTACAAAGACTGTTATCACCATTTTGCCCTCAAGCTCTGCAGGGATAGCTTCTCGGTCCAAGGGCCCATTACTGTACAACACTCCTGTGTCTGCGTTGATGGAGAAGTTGCTGCTGAAATGACCCGGCAAAATGTTAAACTGCAAGCGGCTATTATCGCTCTCTGGTTCATCTTGGTCAGTGGCCTGGGAGGAGAATTGAAGGAGTTTTTAGTGAACCTGCAATTCAGCAACAAGATTATATGCCTGGTCTTGGAGAAGGACACAAGCAGATACCCAGAGTTTGGAAGTATCAGCCTTCTATCCTTCCGAGGTCAGTAAAATGAGTACCCAGCTTGCTGGGTGGGGGGAGCAATGTGTAACCTGCGTAATTAACTTGTAAACTGCCCAGAGAGTGCTGGAAGCACTATGGGGCAGTACAGTACAGTATATAAGCAGCACACTTCCCTACCTGGTGGTAATGATGGGTGGAACTAAGTCATACTTGAAAAGCAATGGTTACAAAGTGACTTTTGGTATACCAAGTCACATTCTAGTTACTTCCAAGAATTACCTTTTAAAGGTATTTTAGAGAAATGTTGACAGGAATGTCCTGCTGAATGCCTTTGTATCATCAGTCCTAAAGAGTGAAGGAAACTTTGTTTTGTTCTGCCTTTTGTATTTTTATAGCTTCCACATACAATATCAGAATTAGCCAATACAGAGGAATCAGAGATTATTTTCCTCTATTTTTCTTGCCCATAGGAATGGATAACCAACAAATTAAGTTTGGAAATGGCAAATGGAATAACAATGGCTAGTGATCAAGGCAGGAGTGTCTCCTTCAAAATTTTGGGGTAAGGGACCTCCTTTATCTTGGTTCATGAGCCACCTCTGCAATGAAGCAAGGATGTGGACAACCTGCATGGTGCAAAGCAGTGAGTAATGTAATGAGTACTCTTTGGAAAACAATGCTGTAATTCTGGAGAAGCAAAATAGCAGACCAAATGGAAAAGGCAAATTAATTAGATAACTCCTAGGAGTGAACCAAATCTCAGGAGATACTGACCAGAACCCTTTTGGTTTCTCAATTTCATGAGAGAGGATATAAGCATTTCCCTACCTCCTAGAGGTTCACTTCCATGTGCCTGATTGCAGACTAGCTTATTCAGATGGGCCTGTGGCCAGCTGTGTGCAACCAACCAGAGAAAGGGGAGCCAGTTGGAGGGAAGACCCATTTATTGTGTACAAATTAGGCCACTGTTGGTGGAGACACAACAGGAGAAGATTAGTCTACAGAGCCAGGCTTGCATGGAAAGTCAGAATGTTCTCCACCATGAGTAAAGCAGCGGTTCCAGATTAAACATCCCTGGCAAATAGACCTTCCCCCCAACCCAGATGTCCTTGAGAAACAAATATATGGCATAGAACTTTAAATTATTTGGAATATATTTCCCAAAAAGGTATTTTACATCTCTCCCACAGCAGAGGAAAGGCATGTTTCAAATTTGCATGGCTGGATTTTCATTGTTTACCCAATTAGGAAAGCCACAGTTAAACATGGTATCAGGGAAAACATCGATGAATGTTCACAAAGAGGAGAGGGGGCAGAAACTAATAGGGCATTAAACTCTTCTTTTTCTTTGTTTACTCAGATTTCACCAGGTACTGCCAAGTAATTCTCAAGCTGACTTTCACAGTTAGAAAGTTGGGGAATGTATATTACCATCAAAACACATGAATGTTCCTTTTGCTAAGGAGCAAGTATTCTGTGCCGATTACACATCAAAGTGAGATTAGCTTTCAAGACACAAAGTAACTCAAGCAGCATCATTTAGAGCAGTGGTCCCCAACCTTGGGCCTCCAGATGTTCTTAGACTACAACTCCCAGAAGCCTTCACCCCCACCTCTGCTGGCCAAGACTTCTGGGAGCTGAAGTTCCAGAACCTCTGGAGGCCCAAGGTTGGGGACTGCTGATTTAGAGCATTACTCCAACCCTGGAGAATGACCTCAGAGATTTCTGGGGGGTTGTTTAGAAAAACAGACCAGGTAAGAAGAAGTCTCTGACATTCTAAGGGTCAGCTTTTGGTATCTGTGCTCTGACAAGGAACACATGACATAAACTAGAGTAAACTGTGTCATGGGTTAGTTCATGGAAGTGTTCCTGAGTATAGTTTGGTCTGTTTCGCAGTGCACATGCACACAGACCTGCATGGCAAAAAAAGGAAGGCAGAAAAGGAAGGCTTCAGCCTTACCAGGATCTGGACAGGCTCCATTTCTTTTCCTTCAGTGACAAACACCATATAGGAACCTATCACCACTGGAGGGTTGTCATTTATATCAATCACATAAATCTCTAGCTGTGTAAAACCAGTCATATTGCCACCATCCGTTGCCTGCAGGGTGTAAACTGTGTCGTGGGTTAGTTCATGGAAGTTTGGTCTGTTTCTCAGTGCACATGCACACAGACCTGCATTGCAAAAAAGGAAGGCAGAAAAGGAAGGCTTCAGCCTTACCAGGATCTGGACAGGCTCCATTTCTTTTCCTTCAGTGACAAACACCATATAGGAACCTATCACCACTGGAGGGTTGTCGTTTATATCAATCACATAAATCTCTAGCTGTGTAAAACCAGTCATATTGCCACCATCCGTTGCCTGCAGGGTGGCATAATAGATAGGACGGGTCCTCCAATCCAGGTTACTGCCATTTGCCACCAGCACCGCCCCGCTAGTTGCATTCACGGTAAACGTGGAGTGGCTGCACAACAGAGAAAAAGACACATCCTTGGACTTCACCTATGATCCCCTTAATGACCGTGCTGACTGGCAATGATGGCAGTCATAAGTCCAACACACCTAGAAGATACCAAACTGAAGAAGACTGCTATATGACAATTCCCTCCCAGCAGAAAGAGGTCCATGCCACCATTCCTTCCCTGCCCTTTCCTGTTTCTATGGCAACTGCATATACATACATGTTTGGAGGCAGCAGCTGGTAGGTGATCTCTCCAAACAGTCCACTATCTGAGTCAGTGGCCTATGAGGAAAAAGAAGGGACCCACTCATTATCATGTCTAATTCAGTTGTCAGGATCCTTCTCATACTGGGTGGGGATTCTGGGTCTTATGTTCCAAAAAAGTAACTCCCCCCCAGCTCTGCTTAAATGTTGATAAGATACAGAGGAAGTTTGTGATGCAATCTCCTCAAACAGTAGTAATGCTTTCAATGACATCAGAGAAAAAATGATGGGGTCCTTCTCACCCCATCATTCTCCATCTCCCTTGACAGCTCTTTCTTCTCCCCTTCCCTCCCTTTCCCTTCAAGGCCTAAGGCAGATGTGGAACTTACTGTGATATTTGAAGAGACAATGGTACCCGGTGGGCTCTTTTCTAGCACATAAAGTTTGTAGTCATTCTGTTCAAACTCAGGCCTGTGGTCATTGATGTCAATAAGATGGATGGTGACTGTTGCAAAAGAGCAGCAATCTGTTGTTTTTCCAGTGTCATTTGCTACGATCTGGCAGAATTAGAAGGAGCCAAGCAGTTAAGCCTCATTCCTATGCATGCTTCGAATCAGCTGAACAGATCTGCCTACAGGATGACTCTCCCAAATTTTATGCTGCCACGCCCATTTTCCTAGGATGGAACAGGATATGACCAAGTAATCATCCTCTGGGGTGCACAGTCTAACTTTCCTGGCTGCAGAGAAAACAGTGAGCCCATTTCCCCGGCAGCAGGTGATGTGAATGATTTGGTTCTCTAAGACAGTGGTTCCCAACCTTGGGTCCCCATATATTCTAGGACTACAAATCCCAGAAATCCTGGCTAGGACAGCTAATGTTCAGGCTTCTGGGAGCTTTAGTCCAAGAACATCTGAGGACCCCATGTTGGGAATCACTGCTCTAAGAGATTGATTTCATTGCACTAAACCTCAAAGTTGCCACGTGTTCTAGAAAGGGAAAGAAAGTTTTGATCCTGGTATGTCCATTCAATTTCTCACATGGTTGTCCTTAAACTGGAGTCAGCCCAAAAAAGCACTTAGGATTATCTCAACAGTACCTCAGGCTCTTTTCATTTAGAAATAGTGTGGTATAATCAACAGAGGGTTGGACTAGGACTCAGGAGAGCTGGGGGTCACCCAGAGGTATAATGCCCTGCAGCTTTGCTTGCTGGGGATTCTGGGAGCTATAGTCCAAAACGCCCTGCAGCTTTGCTTGCTGGAGATTCTGGGAGCTGTAGTCCAAAAAAGTAAGGCAGTGGTAATGGTAAACCTTAAACATTTCACGTACTTTGAAAATCCTACAAACCACTCCTTAAACAGTTCACGTACCTTGAAAATCCTATTAGGTTCACCATAAATTAGGAACAGCCTGAAGGCGTTTAACAACAACAACTACCTGCTGAATAGATGTCACATATCTTGGCAGAATGCTGCCTGTATAGGACCACTGTTCAGAAAAGTTACCTTTTTTAGACTACAACTCCCAGAACCCCTTAATCAGCATGGTTTGTCCCCTTCCAGGAGTTTTAGTCCAAAAAAGAGTAATTTTCCAGGCTTGGCACAGAATGATATATAATAATGGGTCTATATTTCTCTTTCTCTCACCTCCACAGTCATGGTATGTGTCTTTTCATAATCCACAAGATTCGGATTGCTCACTAGCACTTGCACAGCACCTTCATTCACAATCTGTTGGGGCGACACTGAGAATGCAGAGGCATCTGGACCCTGCAGGGTCAGCTGAAAGGTGCCGTTGGCGCCCTGTTCGGGAAAGAAATCAGGTCACTCAGAAACAAGAGGATTTCAACACAGCTCATGAGCCAGGTGGAGTTCACAGCTTCTAAAAGTTCTGAGGGGGGAGGGTTGGACTGTAACACCCAGATGTGTAATACCATGCAACTTAGCTGGCTGGGGATTCTGGGAGCTGTAGTCCAAAAAAAGAGTACTTTTTCTAGTCTCTAGGAAAGTTGGTTTGTACAAATGGGAAGAATGAGGATTCCTTCTGGGTTGTTGTTTTTTTTTTTTTTTTTTTTGACAGACTTTGGATCCCTGGTGATGCAAAAGTGGTGATAACCCTGCACAACTGTTTTCCTTCACATTTTAAGCTATATCTTTTACTCTGTTTGTAGTTGGAATTCTTCGGTTGTAACATGATGCTTATGAAGCCATTTTAATTCCCCAAGACAGAAAACTTTTAAATGGGCTTGGGTTGATCCCTGCTATACTAATGAATGTATATGTGCATTAAGAATATCTTAGGAATCAAGCTGAGGTACTGAACTTAGGTTTTAGTGTATGTGCTATATGTATGAGTGTTCAGAAAGTGTTAATTAAGGCCAGAGAGTCAGTATGATACAGTGGACAGAATGATAAACTAGGAGTCAGGAGCAGAGATGGGAGGAATCAGCAAAATTGTAGTTCATTGTGGTCCATTGAAGTCCATGAACTACAAACCACAAACTTCCTGATCTTTAAAAAAATGAACCATGAATTGGTTTGGTTTGGAAGATCAGGAGCCCTTTAATGCTCCCTCCAGCCACCAAGAGACATCAAAATCACAGAGAAGTTTCCCCTGACTCTCCTCTACACCCCCTCCAAGTTTGGTGAAGTTTGGAATTTGGATGTCTGAGTTATACACCTTCAAAGCAGGTCCCTCCAGGAAAGCACCCTTTAGCAGCTGGCTTGGGGGAACAGAGCGTTGCTCATCAGGAGGTGGACCCAAACCCCATGGACAATGCCATGCTGGAGGTCTGAGATGAGGTACAGATGTTATTGTGTGGTCATTGAGGGTAGGGGGGGAGAGAGAGGCTGCCTGACGAGGGAAACAGCCTGCCGCTAGAGACCTGAGCTAACTTGGTTCTGAAGTAGGAGGGTTCCTCTGATTGGCAGAAGTGGCTCTGAGGTGAAAACGGCTCCTATGAATTGGTCTTATAAATGAGAACAAGCAGCTCCCCTACATCCCTTTGAGCCATGTGTTCGGCTGCCTGACTTGCCAACCCAATAGTCTCTAGACCCCTCCCAAGTTTGCCTAGTGTGTCTGATTGACAGAAGCAGGCTGTCGGGGGAGATGGGTGAGAAAATGGGCAAACAAACCAAAAATCACTAAAGAAGTTTGTTGGTTTGGTTCATTTTGTTTCATCGCTTTTCATAAATCTGATCCAACGAACCCGTAACTTTTGAGAAACTTCCTGGTTCATTTTATTTGTTTGTTTGTGCTCATCTCTGCTCAGGAGACCTAGATTCAAATCCTCACCTGGCCATGGAGGAATTGGTAAATCTAGTCCTCAATATTTCAGATACCCTGAAGATCCCTATCAGAGTCACCATAATTTGGATGAGACTTGAGAACACACAACACATAGAATACAATGGCTAACCAGTGACAGTCATTGACTGCTATTTTCCCACATTAGTAAGCACAGGTTCTAGCCAAGCATCTTATTGAAATGCTCTGCCTTGACCAGTGGAGTGTGGAACTGATGCAAACTCCTAGTGACGTATTTGCATAATTGAGCAAATGAACTAATGATTTAGGGAGGACCGTTGAAAATAGAGCATGGAAATGTTACTTTTGGGCCCACAGTGGTAGTCTATACAAGTAACTTTCAAGTTATGGTAAGAATACAGAGAATACAGTACAAGGAGTCTGACACTGTCACCAGTATTTTCTGTCTTTAGAATTTTCTTTGTTTAGAATTTGCACAGTGGTGATACCAATAGTTAAAATCTGAAGTCTTTGTCATAGACAGAAAAGAGACAAAAGGCTCAGTATTTATTTATTTATTTATTTGATTGATTTATACCCCGCCTATCTGGACCGATGGACCACTCTAGGCGGCTAGAGTATGCAAATAGATGTTTGTTTGTTTGTTTGTTTGTTTGTTTGTTTATTGTATTTATACCCCACCTATCTAGTCGAACAACCATTCTAGGCGGAACATCAACCCTTGTTCCAAACCTATTATTCCCTGTAATTCTAACTTTCTATTCCCACCACCACCACAACCACCATGAAGATCTGGTCCCACTACCTCCATGCTCACCTTGTCAGGGTCATAGGCTACAATGCTGAGGTTGGCCACTGGTGTTCGGGCAGAAGCATGTTCCTCAATCTGACCAGAAAAGTTGCCTTCTGGAGGTGATGAGAAGTTGCAGGCAAGATATGTGCATAAATAGAACTGAGGTGTGTTGTCATTGATATCCATGACTTGGATAGTCACCATGGTGCTCACTTGTGCCACTTGGTGATAAATGTTCAGGTTTTTTTCACGAGCCTAAGTGTGAAAGCAAGAGAGACAAAATGGAGGCCTTGAGAGAAAGGTGTGCTTTGCAGAGGTCCCCTGCCACCCACATCTTCTCGACTACTTACCACAACCTGGAGCTCCACATCTTCACCTGGAACACCCTCTCGGTCCAGGCTGCCACTCACTGTGATGACTCCAGTGATATTGTTGATTGTAAACAAGCTAGTGTCATCTGGAGGAGAAAAGGTGGAGAGAGAGGAATATCTCCTGAGCCACACTGGAGGCAGGTAGCACTTAACCTGAGAAAGCTATTAGGATCAATTTTCCCTTGTAACTTTTGGGAAAAGAGGAGTATGGCTTCTCCTCAAGAACAAACTTTTTACCACCACAGCACTTAACGTTACCAAACGGGGACTCAGTCTCCATCCTCAGGTTTGTTTGTTTGTTTGTTTCAAATCCAGCTGTTTGGCATAGTACTGACTCTGGTAACAACCCATTTCTGAGGCCATTTAGAGCTTGTCACAGGAAAAATGCAATGGAGTTGAACAGAATTACCCAGCAAGGTGAGGTGAAAGTCAAGTTGAGATCTGAGGAACAGCAATATAGATAGGTCAGTCAAGCTGAGCTGTGTACCACCCCCAGAGATCAGACATAGAGTGTAGGCATGGATGTCCTACTAAGTGGAGGATTTTGACCAGAGCAAATGGAGGAAATCACTGATCTGCCCTTTTTGGCACAGACGTTCCAGAAGCCCCACCTATGATGGCCAGGGATGAGGCATCATGGAAGTTATAACATTTGGAGGACTCAGGATCCTCAGCCATGGCAAGAGATAGAGAAGGTATTGGGAAAAAGTTCTAGTTAAATAAAGTGTTCTCTAGAGAAAAACCATCAAGGCAGAAAGTGAAACTGGCCATTTCTACTAATTTAACTCCAATAATGCTTGCTGCAGCAGGGATGGCATGATTGGTACAGCATGAAGATACAGTTCTCCACACTGACACAGCTGTAGACCACCCATGCTATCTGATGGGTAGAAACCAACCCCACCCTTCCATCACTCACTGGTGATGCTATAATAGATGACATCATTCACGTCCTTGTCTCCATCAATGGCAAACACCCTTGTCACTGTTGTACCCTATAAGGAGGAAAATCTTGGTGAGAACACAGTTTTCTTTATACTACCCACAGCTAGTAGGGGGGGGAAACATCACCAGCCGCATCAGAGTTACTAAGCAGGCATACACTTAGCAGCAACTTCACATGGAACAATATAAAATCTGAAGCTTTTAATTGTATGGAGCTGTTAATTTAAATTGTTGGTTTTTGCATCTGGCTTCTGTAAAGACCATGGCTAGAAGGGCTGGTTCAAAATGGCAACTTTGCCTCCATTCCGAATGAATGACCAGGAAGAACTCATTCTGTTTGGTCATCCTTATGCCTCCATTCAAAATTTGGAACATATATATTTATATTGCAGAACAACAATAACAGCTATCTACCAATCTCCAAAATAATGAATAGTTGAACAAGTTCCTTTTTTATATATATCTTAAAGGAACTTGTTCAACTATTTGTTATTTTGGAGATTGGTAGATAGTTGTCATTGTTGTTCTGCATGTAAAAATAATTTGTTGTGTTGCATTGCATATTACTGGGACATTATCTTGTTCTTATAAGCAGGCTGGAAAACTACAGGGAAATACTCCTGAGTTAATCCTAATAGCCAATTCTCATATAGTAACTTGAAAATATTTACAAAGGAAACAAAACAAAATATTTGTCACTTAGGACAGCATAAAAGATGAAAATCAAAATGCCTTAAAGTGCTATTTTGAAGTAATTTTTGGGAAAAAAAATAAAGATGTTATCGATTGCAACAAAAAGTATGCCTGTAATTTTTTCTGTTCTGTCACTTTTGAAATGTAATTTTACTACCCCATTTTTTCACACACCCTGTAACTAATTACAGGAACTATGCTACATGTAACTTGCTATTTCTGTGCTTAGTATGGTAATGAAGAGGGATAAAAAAGGAACGTGGAGTTTCCAGGTATACTCACAGGAGTCTTGTGTGTGCACTCCTGCTAGCATATCTCATATCAGGGAGCACCTGGCCAACTTCCTTTTCTAACCCCTTTTTAACTATACAGTATTTAACTATAAATATGCCCCTCCCCTCAATACACTTTTCCATTTCAGCCTTTTGTTATTAGATTGTTAAAGGTGTTCCTTACCAAAGGACAGTGTTCTGGTACTGAGCCTGTAAATGGTTCACCCAAGAATTGGGGGTCCAAGTCAGCCACATCGACAACAGTGACAGAGAGATAGGCTGTGTTGTTCTGATAGGTGAACACATTATGTAGCAAACCTCCATTATCCTACAGAATAAAGAGACAATGGCAACTTGAGCATGTAGTCTTATCACTTTAGTTCATGAATTATGTGCCATCCTACCCATCAAGAATCCTTCTCCACAGCAGTACAGCACTGAATCTCTATAATCTGATTGGTAAAAGCAAAATACTGTAGAAATAAAAAGTAAAAAGTTTTTTTTTTTAAAAAAAAGACAAGATATGGTGGCACTTTAAAGACTAACGTTTATATTTTTTTAATGTGAGCTTTTGTGGCCAAGTCCACTTCATCAGACATAAGGGAAAGAGATTTAATATGCCAAATATTTATACTGTTTCGTTTCATTCAGTCGTTTAGTCATGTCCGACTCTTCGTGACCCCATGGACCAGAGCACGCCAGGCCCTCCTGTCTTTCACTGCTTCCCGAAGTTGTGTCAATTTCATGTTGGTTACTTCGCAGACACTGTCCAGCCATCTCATCCTCAGTCGTCCCCTTCTCCTCTTGCCGTCACACTTTCCTAACATCAAGTTCTTTTCCAAGGAGTCTTCTCTTCTGATGAGATGGCCAAAGTACTGGAGCCTCAGCTTCAGGATCTGTCCTTCCAGTGAGCACTCAGGGTTGATTTCCTTTAGAATTGATAGGTTTGTTCTCCTTGCAGTCCAGGGGACTCTCAAGAGCCTCCTCCAGCACCACAATTCAAAGGCATCAATTCTTCAGCGGTCTGCTTTCTTTATGGTCCAGCTCTCACTTCCATACATCGCTAATGGAAAAACCATAGCTCTGACTTTTTGGACTTTTGTTAGCAAAGTGATGTCTCTGCTTTTTAAGATGCTGTCGACGTTTACTATAGATTTCCTCCCAAGAAGCAGGCGTCTTTTAATTTCGTGGCTGCTGTCTCCATCTGCAGTGATCATGGAGCCGAAATTTATACTGTATATGGTATCAAAATAGACTAGACTATGTCTAGGTGGGCGGCATATAGATGCAATAAATAAATAAAATAAATAAATAAAATAAAGATGTCCAATACAGAGATTGTGGTTGGTTGGTAAGAAAGTCAGTGGGTGTTTAACATTGTGGTGATCATGTATTTGATATGCAGGCCCTTCATTGATGTTGGATGATCAAACAATCTAGATGTAAATTTCAAAGGGGAGGGGCCTGCAACACAAACTAATTTGTTTGCTTGTTTGTTTGCATGCTGACCAATTAGTGGGAGTTTGTTGTTCCCAGGTAGGGAGGCTCCACCCCTGTTTCCGGCCCTCCTGGCCATGAGGTGATTGAACCACCATTGTTGGTCCCCATTCTTGCACACGCTCTTCACCTGGAAAGATGTAAGAACTCCATGCTGGCCCACTGAGCCTGGAGATCCCTCCGGCCACGTGGGGCCAAGCAGAAGAACATTGTCTTTGCTATTTCTTTCTGTATCGACCTGAAACCTTCTGAATGCTTATCCATGTGAGAAGAATATAGAATTCTTTAATACAAAAAAACGCCTCCTGAGTGTTATTTTTAAGTGCTAGTGTTTGGTGAGGGGCGGGTACAAAAGGGAACTTTTAGCTAATTCTGCCCAACCAGCTGGCGCTTCCTGCTCTGCATTTAGTGGAATTCAAGCGAGTTCCCACAACTCTCAACAATTGAAGCTTGGGCTGTAAAGAATGTGAGAACCTCTGTCATAAAATAACAATGGCAGAGTAACATGAATTGGAATTATCTCTGTGCATTTCATGCTTTTCCTCCTTCTTCCACCAGTCTTGTAAACAACTCTGATTTATCTGGACCTTCATTTTGCATTGTTTTTCAAGAGGGCTCCTCAAGAGATCTCCTCATACACAGTACTGCATAATTGTTAAGCTGTTCCTTGCATTCTTAGGATATTTCAGAAGCTTATGTTAATTTTATGTATCTTACAGGTTTTGGCACAGGCAATTAATGGCTGGAGAGGAGAACCTCACCAGACATGGCAAGGTGAGACACTAATTCTAGTTCTTTGTGAGGGGGGGGAGTTAATTAAAAAAATGGGTCTTCCTATACCCTCTTGTCCCATAATAAACACAAATTGCTCTGCCTCAGAAGACCCTCCTTGACAAATGATATCCAGCTGTTGAAGACAAAACTTATGCCTGGTAGGCAACCTTTCTGTGCTTTTCTTTTTTTCTTTTTCTTTTTTTTTGGCCTTTCTTTGCTTTTCTTTTTTTCTTTTTCTTTTTTTGACATTTAAAAATGTAACTGCTTTAAATGCAAATATATGAATCACCTAATGCATTTAAAAAGATAAGAAACTAAAAAGCAGGGGCAGCAAAGTGCTGACAAAAATAGAAACTGCTGTAGGGGAGGCTACTTGCAATGTAAATCTGATTTCTTGAAGAGACAGTTTGGTTAATATAGCAGGGAGGGGGGGAATCTATAGGAACCCGGAGACCCTTCATGAGATTCACAAGCCTGGTGTCTTCCAACTTCAGCCACGGCCTTCTAAAACAGAAGGTAATGAATTAACAAAAGGTTAACCCATGTAGCTAGAGCACTGGCACCCCCCTCTCATGACCCTGGTAGCAATGTGTCCCTCTTCTTTTTTTCTTCTTCACATCATTGCTCCACAGAGAGGCAAAGCTTATCTTTCCACCCACTTCCTCATGATCCTTTCTTTTCCTTGCTTGTCACTGGCTGAGCCTCACCGTGGCCAAGATCTTGATTCGGTAGAAGGTGCTCTTGTTATTGTAACTGAGTGAGCCATTCAACACCACAGTGCCATTATAGAGAATGGAGAAGAGATGGCGGTTCTCTGCATTGTTTGGGTTGACCTGTGGAGGGGGGTATAAAATACAAATGTGAGCAGTGACCAAACACAAAGCTTTGCCTGGAACAAAATGCACCCTTTCCCAAGAAAAACTTTGGCAAAGTCTTCCATATATTATAAATCAGATGGTGAGATAAATATATACAGTATATTGATTTGGCAGGTATATTTATAACACACACACACGTGTCTCTCACTCTGTGTGTGTGTGTGTGTGCGTGCGCGCACTCTATAAATATATTCCAACTGGGGACTCCAGGACTAAAAAAGTCCATGCCCTCTGTATGAAATAGCTCCTTGTGCCTTTTGTCTGCCTGTATTTAACGCTTGTTGAACCTTCCTCTTTACATTATGGAACTCACTTCTTCAATTTCATAGGATACCCGTCCTGCATTTCCGCTGTCTTCATCCACTGCTTCAACCCTAAAGATTGGGGAGCCAATTGTTGTATTCTGAAACAGAAAGAGGACAAACCAGTTTGGATAGCTGGGTGAGAGTACAATAGGAGAACCAGTGGATATGAGAGTCAGTGTGGTGTATTGGTTAAGAGTACTGGACTGTGGGTGTAGAGATCCAGGTTCCTGTAACACACACTGAATAATGAAACTTTCTGGGTGACCTTGGTCCGGTTGCCTTCCCTTAGCCTGATCGGCCTTACAGAATTTTTGTAAGGTAAGGTAAGGTGGAGGGGAGCAATGAACACCACACTGAGCTCATAAGGTGAAAGGCGCAACATAAAAATAGTGCTAAAAATGACAAATAAATAGATCTTTTCAATCTAAGTTTTTATAGGCCTCAACTGTAAACAGTAAGAACATAAAGAGGCTAAAACACACCAATCTTTGCTCAAAATGTTACCAGTCCTCAGTACAGGGGGAAACCAATGCCTTCTCTACTCTCCCTTACTTCTTCCTCTCTGGGCCCACAGGATCAAACTGGAAAATATGCTTAGCACAATTTTTTAAAAGGTGCTCTCTCAAGTGGTGAATGCTACACGTTTTTCACAGTCTGTTGTTTTCCTCATCTATACATCTTGGCCTGTCTATTTATACGATTGCGTAAGGGTAATTGTGAAAGCTTTTCTTCCTTCTGTCAGGCTCTTTTTAGTGCAACCAAGCACAGACTGGCTGTAAAATGTGTTCCAGGATCAGTCATGCAAGCAAGCAACTGCATTAAAAAAACAACACTGTGTGATTTCTCTCATGTAAATAGGATGTAGGCCATTTAAGCTTTTTGTGATTGGTTACTCTATCCACTTTACAAACACTCTATCCACTACACCACAGTGGATATCTGCTCTAAAAGCCTACCTGCATGTTATCTTTATTGCACAGTGTGCCGTAGGAATCTGTATTTTTTTTTTTAAATGTCAATAGCTAGCACAAGGTGCTGCAATTATCACTAGGACTCCTGGGGAGTTTAATCCTTCTGTCCCCAACTGTCAGTGTGATGTAGTGAATAAAGAACTGGACGGGGATACTCAGGAGACCTTTGTTCAAATCCTTGCGCAGCCAGGGAAACTCACTGGGGAATAGCAAAGGTAAATCCACTCCTTAAATCTCTCACAGGCCTTGAAAGTACTGCTACGTTCACTGTAAGTCAGATGTGTCTTGACGGCACACAGCAGAAAGAGTCCCAGCTGCAACCCCAGAGAAACTCTTTGCCTTCATGTGGCAATTAGGCATAGAAAAGAGCTCACTTTGGCATTATGTTAACTTTCCCCACACACACCATGCATTGTTGTTGTTATGTGCTGTCACATGACTTCCTACATACAGCAATCCTAACAGGATTTTCAAGGTATGTGAGATGTTCAAGGAGTGAGTTGTCATTATTATTCCCAATGGCTGAGTGAGGATTTGCACCCAGGTCTCCTGAGCCTTGCACTCTCCACTACACTACCTCTCATCCCCACACATCATGGACCCAACTAGGTCGGGCTTCCACCTACTTGTGTGTTTAATGCAGACAACATTGCACACTGCTCATTTGACATAACAGGTAAGAGTTCTTAAAATACCCAGTAGCACCCTCATCTTGACACACTGTTGCATCTTGTTTTTTTATATATATATACTGTATAAAGCACTTTAGCCAAGAGTTCACTTGAACCTTTGTAGATTAAAATCCCTTTGGATAACCCATAATAATGTAGCTTCTTCAATGCATTTTTTTCTTGGTCTTGAGCTCAAAATAATATCTTAGTATGATATACTGTCATTGGAAGCAGGGAGAGAAACGGCAAATGATTCAGTTGACACTGGCCAACCTGAGCAGGAGGAGGAAGAGAAGGCGGCACACAGAAGATTCCTTTAACTGGGGAAGACAGATTTTAGGTTGGCAAGATGGTCTTTGTTTTTCACTACAACCCCAAGATCAATCAATTGCAACCAAGGGAGAAATGCTGGAATTATTTCATATGCTGATACAACTTTACATCAGACTTACTAAAAAAAAGAAAAAGACTTCAATCTCACAGGCCAAAATCCTGTTGCTTAGCATAGTAATTTCCGTTGATTTGAATAGGCCTACTCTAACTGCGATTTATTTTAGCAGGAGATCAGTTGGGCGCCAATACCTCGAGGACGTCTGTGAAATAGGGTTCATTCTGGAATATTGGTTTGTTGTCATTCCGGTCTAATACAATGATGGTGATTTTTTTCTTGACCTATTGAGGTAAAAGAAAAGAGGAACACTTGCTAATGTAAGAGACCAGGCAGAGGAACTGCAGCATCCCTAAGGAAGAAGAAGAATTGCAGGGATGTGGTGATGAGATTTTAAAAAAACAAAGCAAAGCAAAACCAAAGACCAAGCTCCAGTACCTTTAAACAGTAGAAGCACCTCTGCTGAAGGAGCTTCTCTTTGGACAGCACCTCCTACAGAAATCCTCTCTTCTACAGAACTAGTACAGAGCCCTCTCTTTTCCCATTGCTCCTGCGTACCCCACACAGGGCTACAGGACTGAGAGAGCCTTCAACCTCAGCAGCCATCAGTGGATTTAAGTCAAGGATCTGTGTTGTAGTCCACTCTGACTTAGCCCAATGGCTGTTGCTCTCAGCCTCCTGACCTCTTGGGGGGGAGGTCCCTTGAAGGATCTCTGACTGCCCCATACATAGCACCAGCCTTGTCCTCTCCTCTCTCCCCCCCCACATGTTTTCCTCACTTACCTGGACGTTCGCTTGATCTGTCACTCTAGCTTCCACAAGAATTGCTTTTGTTTTCTAGAAAGGAAAATGCAAAAGTAGAAAGACTTTGATAAACAGGCATATCAATATGTGTGTAGGCATCCTTCAGTCTCGAGAGACTGTGATAACGTGCTTTGTATGGAGGATGTGGAACAGCATCTAGTGTGGCTGAGAAGGCCAATTTGAGAGTGACAATCCCTTTCACACTGAAGACAAATACAATCTGTCCCCACTCCAGCTTCAATGCTGTATGCGAAGCTGGAGTGACCTCTCCAGAGCACGAAGCCTGGGTAAAATAATATGGAGGATAGGCTGTTACCCAAGCCGCAAATCCCCCCTCTCCACATCGCTGAAATGGTCCAATGGAAAGGCAAGAGCCAATACAACTGGTTCCAGTGACATCGCAGGAGTTGCCAGAACGACACGAACTGCCTCTGGGACTCCAGCTCTGGATTTTGCCTCAAGGTTGGCTCCTGAAGCCTTTTCCATCAGTGGATATGTACCTCCTTGCAATATACCTCTTCCCTAGAGTTTGATTAATTGTATACTTTATTTGATTAGACTTGGATGCTTTTTTCCCCTTAGAGGGGGGGCACCTATTTAATCCAGACCTTCCCTATTAACCCCTTCATTCAAGGACTGTCACCCAATGACCAAGCTTGCAAGTATCTACTCACTATCCCACCACCCCATAACTAAAGCATATTTTATAATGGTTAACTTGCTGAGGAATAAGGTCACCCTTCCTTTTATGTGGCTACTTTTTATACTTTGGAGATATCATCATCGACAACAACAAAATCATCGTGGCATGTCGAAAAATCAATTCTGTCTTATGGAGACCCTTTTCAGGGTTTTCTAGGTAGAGAGTATTCAGAAGCAGTTTACCATTCCCTTCTTCTGGGGGTGCTCTGGGACTGCGCAGCTTGTCCAAAGCCATATAGTATGGTGCCTCTGGTGATATACAATGAAGAACTGAACTCCCAACCCCTTGCTTCACAGCCAGAAACCTAACTCACTGAGCTATCCAGCCATAGCCTCATTAAAGAGTAGAAGAGGAATATCAGACAGTTCCTGTGTCAGCTTATGCTTTTGTCCTGGATGTTGAGGTCCTCACAAAGCAGAGAGGAATTTGTGGTTTGTAGTGTTCCGATTAGTGACAAATACATTTAAATTTATTACTTTTGAGAAACAGGAAAGTGAAAGTAGTCTTTAATTTGTACTTTTCAAAAAACGTTCCTTAAAATGTAATTTTTGTTGTTATCTGCTGTCAAGTCACTTCCAACTTGACCTTACCAATTAGAGACCTCCAAAAGGTAATTATTAATTAATATATTGGATTGTCTGGCAAATGAGAGGATTATAGTTTTTGTGCCTTTGAAATGCAGGCCTGTTAGTTGGTGCCAGGATGGATAATCCAGAAAATGCCCTGGATCCATTCCAGTTGGTCTTCAGCTCACCCCATGGTACGGAAACAGCATTGGTTGCCTTGTTTTATTACCTACAGAGGGAGGCCGACAGGGGCAAAATGTCTCTGCTGGTCCTCCTTGATATCTCAGCCACCTTTGATACTATTCTCCTGGGGAGGCTCTCCGAGCTGGGAATCGGTGGCCTTGCTCTTGCCTGGCTCTGTTCCTTCTTGGAGGACCATCCCCAGAGAGTGCAGCTTGGGAAGAGTGTCTCGGCCCCGTGGAGCCTCAATTGTGGGGTTCCGCAGGGCTCGATTCTCTCCACGATGACATTCAACATCTATATGAGGCTGCCGGGAAGGGACATCAGGGTATGTGGGGCTTTGTCTCATCAGTACACTGATGATACTCAGCTCTACATCTCCTTTTTTCCAACAACAGTGGATGCTGTTTCGTCCCTTGAGCATTGCCTGGGGGCTGTTCAGCAATGGATGCAGGTGAATGGGCTGAGGCTGAATCCAGGCAAGACAGAGGTCCTTTGGGTGGGTGTCCCAGACATCAGTGGTCTGGGAAATTCCCTTTCCTTCGGGGGGATTACTCTTACCACCAAGGGTGAGGTTCGCAGTTTGGATATACATCTGGACCTGGCACTCACCACGGAGACCCAGGTGTTGTCAGTGGTCCATTCGGCACATTTCTACCTTCGGCGGATTGCCCAGCTGTGTCCCTGTCTTGATGTGGGGACACTCCCCGCTTTGGTCCATGAGCTCATAGTCTCAAGATTAGACTACTGTAATGCGCGCTACCTGGGGCTGCCTTTGAAACTGACACGGAAATTCCAGATGGTACAAAATGTGGCGGCCAGACTTCTTACAGGGGTGAAAAAGTACCACCATATTTCCCCCATGCTGGCTACCTTGCATTGGCTTCCCATTCATTTCCGCATTGATTTCAAAGTCCTTGCGATGACATATAAAGCCCTAAACGGTTTAGGACCTCGATATCTGGCAGAGCGCTTCCTCTCACCCAGTCCTGCCAGAGTCACTCATTCCAGCCAGGCTGGGCTGGAAATTTTGGCCAGTTGTGCCTTACCAGCATGAGAAGGAATCTCCAATGTCATCAAATACTCCTGGCAGAACTCTCTCCTGGGACCAAATTAACTAGTGAGAACTGGTTTCAGCTGAGAAGAAGGGAGGGGAAGGAGTGAAGGTACTTTTTAAAAAGTTACTCCCTTCTGGAAGTTTCAGAGCAACTGAGAGACTGATTGGCAAAATACTCTGGAAAAGTGGATGATTGATATAAAATGGGATGTGAATAAGCTTAGTTTAGCCTACTTTCTCTGTTTCTACGTTCTACTATTTCATTATACTCTGCACATGCTCTGGAATGATGCTGAATTTCTGTCTCAATGTAAGTATTTTAGGATAGTCAGCTTTCTTATTCTCTGTGGGAACTTTTCTGGATTTACTTTTTCCTCCAATTTTCTGAACAAGTATTTACTTCACTTTTTTTTGAAGAATGCTTTTGAACTTTTTAGAACTAAAATTGGAAACTGCTTGTGACTTTATTTCTTTTGACCTTTTTGCAAGATCTTTGATAATAAAAAATTGACAGCAGCCTGGTCATTCTGGGAAGAAGAGGGCCTCCTCTTGACCACATACTAGATCCATTTATAATTTTTGTAAGTATTTTTGGTATTTGGACCTGGCAGGGTTGGCATCCAAGTGAAAGTGTCCAACCTTGTAGTCTCTTTAGTACTCGTAGCTCCCTAGAGTGCTGGGAGGTGACCAGATAGGAAGAATCCCCACAACCCCCCCACACACAGCATATTAACACACACACCACCCAGCCTTCACTCACATGAGGAATGTCTGGGTAGTGTGGCTGAGGGGTTAGAATGGACCTCTCTGTCCAGGCCATAATCATGACATGGGGTGCCTCAGAGCCTTCATTGTTCAGAGCTCTAACCTGTGTTCTAGTTTCTGGCCAATGGTTGCTGTTTGCATGATATATATATTATAATAGCATTCATGAGAAGGAGGAAAAAGAAACAGTTCAACAATAGTACCATTTGAAAAGGCAGAGCACTTTGACACAATGTGGTTTTTCTGGTTGGAGTGACTCGGGTGCAAATGCAGTGTCCATCAGTCCACCTATTTCATAGGCAAAATAATCTGTATTTTAATTTTGTGTACTGTGCTTATGATATACTTTAGCATTGTTGTACCCTGCTTTATAATCTTCAGATTTAAGTAATTTATAGACAGCCATTAACAAACAAATGTTTTACAAGAACTGATTTTCCCTACCTAATAAACGTCCTTGTTCTCCTGGCCATGGCTTACCTCATAATCCATTTGTTGCCTCAGCGTCACGTTGCCTGTTTCCTCATTGACAGAGAAGTAGTAGGCATTGTCACCTTCTATGCTATAGTACAGCTTATCCCCGTCAGCATCCACAGCCACAAGCTGAAAAACCCAGGCTCCTGGAGGAAGAAATGAGGATCAGTAGTGGGAGAAATCAGCCCAGCAAGGACATCCATGTTGAATTAGCCTTATGACAACCATCCCTTTTCTCTGACCATCCCTCTCATTAGTCAGAGTGAGGGAAGCAAATTGGCAGTTAATTTATTGTGTTTACATTTTTTATTGTCAGGAAGGGGAGAGACATTGATTAAATTTTTCATGTCAGGTGCCATAATAATTTGATTGGCTCACAGTATTGTTTGCCCTGTTTTGTCCAAAAGATGGGGTACCACTTCTTTCATTGCTTCAGGCAATGTTTCAGACCAGCTTTGCTGACACATCATCCCTGTAGGAAGACACCTTTCCAGGAAGAATCAGGCCCTAGAGATTTCTAGGTTCCTTAATCCTTCTTCCCCTCCTAGCCCACTCCTTTGCCAAGGCAGGAACAGCAAAAAGAGGATTCATGAATCTGAGTGTTCCTCCAAGCTAAGTCCTACAAACTAAGAAGCAGGCAGAAGATGGGCAAATCCTGGAACTTCTCAAAACTTTCCCCAAGCTGACACCCACTAGATATATTACACTACTTTTGCCATCATCCCCCTGCAGTTCATTGTCTGGGAATAATAGAATCTTCAGCCCTCTATTTCTGGAGAATGCCAGCTTGGGAAAATTTGAGGCCAGTAACCATGTTAGTTTGTTGTGCAAAAATAATTAAGAGTCTTGTGGTACCTTAAATACAAGGCTCCTTAATGTCCACTGATTAGTATGTGAATTTGCTAGACTCCTCCATGACTCTGCTACTTATGATTGGAGTATTCTATAGTGCAATACAGAATGTCCATGTATTTGGTGCTTCAGAAAATATTAGCACAGGCCTGTGAACTATAGCCAGCTAAAAACTTGCATGTCTTAAGGTGACACCAGACCCTTTGTTCTTTTAGCTTGGAGACAGGACTCTAGCCACCATTCTCACAAATCAAGCGTTACTTTTTATTTTTTTATTTTATTAGAGTTATACCCCACCCATCTAGATCAAAGGTCTACCACTTTCTTGTGTTCTCGCTCAGCATCTTCTTGTTTACTCACCTACAGGTGTGTCTTCTGGTAAGGAGAAGGTGCTGTTCATTTCAAACCGTGGTGCTGTGTTTCCTGATACTGTGTGATGAACAGATGACTATATTTATTATTTCTCCATGGAGACAATCTCCCTCCTCCCCATCATCTGACTCTTCCTCTTTCTCCTTTGCAATAAGATAAGTATGTAGCTCATCTTTTGCTTTTGCTGACTTTTCCCTTATCACAGAGCAGGTAACAGGACTTTCCTTTAAATAAAGGTGCCCAAAGTGGTGATATTCCAGTTGCAGGTAGCAAGACCTTCGAAAACACATAGATTCACCAGATTTTCTCCACATGCTCATCCCACAGATTCAAGGCTTCTATAGGCGAACTCCTGTTTTTGTGTACTCAGCTGTATGTCATGCTGATTTCACGCTTGGCCTTCTTGGGCAGTTATACATCTTCCTACCAGGTTTGGGACACTTACAGTCCTGCAACTTCAGAACTCGGTTCAGCCTACAAGCTTTCAAGACTGCAAACTGGGACTCAGGCAGGTGCTTCCGGGGCTGCAAACCAGAGCTTGTTTCCAGGGAACAGCTTTTTGGTCTTTACAGAACAGCAGAAGACAGATGCATGACAAATAAAGAACCCTTCAGGGCCACACTGACCTGAACGCTGAAGAGTCTTCCTCCCTGCTAGTGGTCTCTGGTCTGTTAGGGCCAATGTGGTCATTTATCACCTGAAGCTGCCATCCTGCTCCCACTTTGCAGTGCAGTGGTTAAACTACTGTATCTTGGTCCAAACTGTGCTCACGACCCAGGGTTCAATCCCAGGTAGCTGGCTGAAGGTTCACTCAGCCTTCTATCCTTCCAAGGTTGGTAAAATAAGTACCCAGCTCGCGGGGGGGGGGAACGTATAGCCTACATCAGTGGTCCCCAACCTCGGGCCTCCAGATGTTCTTGGACTACAACTCCCAGAAGCCTTCACCACCACCTCTGATGGCCAGGATTTCTGGGAGCTGAAGTTCAAGAACATCTGGAGGCCTACGGTTGGGGACCACTGGCTTGCATAATTAACTTGTAAACCACCCAGAGAGTGCTTAAATTGCTATGGGTTGGTATATAAGCAGCACACTTTGCTTTTTTTCACCACGCCTGCCTCCTCTGAATCATCAACTGCCATGAGGATTGGCTGCCCCTGATCCCTGCTATGTATTATTTCCATAAAAATTACCAAGGAAACATTGCTCTCACCAATGAAATTCTTACCTGCTGCCACAAGTATGGAGAGAAGTGTCCATGTGAGCCAAAGCATCCTGCTGGGGCCAAGAGACCTGTGGCTACAGAAAAAAAGGAAGCGTCAAGGCTCCGTGAAGGCCCATTTGCTTCTCCCACTTCTTTAGTGAGCAGCTCCTGATGGCCTAACCCCCAAGCTGCAGAAAATGGTTTCTCTAGAAAAGCATCCATTTAAGTAACTCTGAAAAGTTAATTAAATGAAACTACAAATCCCTGAATCTCCCAGAGCGAGTGTGTCCAGTGGTTATATTGGCTTAATTATTCTGTGAAATCTTATCTTAAATAGTGACTTTTGCTGCATTTTCACTGCAAGTACCCATCACTGAGAAAAGGCACACCTCCTGGGACACGAATGCTGTAGATATGAGACATTGGCTGTGTTGGAATAATAACAACCTTGCATGCTTTGTAACACTGGGATGAAGACTGTCTTTAGGATCCAACGGGATTCTTTCCTCTCTTTTACCCCACTAACCAATTAGTAGAGATCCTTTTTTCAAGACTGAGGCTCTTCCTGCTTGTTTCTGCTTCCAGCTGTTCGTTTATTGCTCTCCCCTCTTTTTTCCTGACCATAGTGGAGAGCAGACATGTAAAACTCAGCTCCTGCCCTCCACGATACAATTGCAATGATGGACCAAGTGTGTCACATGCTTGAAGCCTCGAATTTCTTTCTTTTATTCTTCCTTGATCTTCTGATTATAATTGAAGATTAACTGTGAGTAAAGTTTTTTTATTTTTTTATTACCTGAGCTACTTGTAGAGTGAATTTTTTTCATATAGAAGATTAGTGAGAATCTAAAATGGGTTGGATGGAAGCTGGGATAATTTTTGCTGTTCTCTCTCCATGCTTAGCCCATGCTGCAACTATGTTTAATTTATGCATTTTTGTACTAGGTTAATAAACAAATGAAATTAACCAAAGCAAAAAAATTCTTAAACACAACATTATGTACTTACATACACTTTTTTTCTATCAGAATATGTACTACATTCCAACTATGAGACAACAAAACTTCCAGTCTTTTTAATATAAGTCATATGATAATATGATAATATATGATAGGAGAAACCTATGCTGAGCTCATAGTTTCATTTCTCTTCTAATCAAATTGTATGGCACAGCAAGGACAAAGTAATGATTAATTTTACATGTCATGTGACCTGAATGATTTACAAGCCTAAGTACGCTAGAACCATAGGGACCATACCATAACCAATGCAAAATAGCAAAAACATGAAGATGAAGGTTGCTTATTTTAAGTAATTAAATATGCATTTTTCATAAAAGCAAATTTTGAACCAGTGTATTAAAAGAAATGTGCCATCATTCTGCCTCACTAAGTGGTAGTTTCAGACAACATTGTCACTTTCCCTTGTTTTTCTAGCATTTCTTCCATTTTCCTTTCCCTTAAAACAGAAAAATCCTGCTACAGAAAAACAGACAGAATAACTACATAATGCCTTTTAATTGCTAGAGTTAGAGTTGTAGGGTCTCAGTTCCACGGCCATATCCAGAATTAATTGCCAGCATAGGGTCAGTGCACTCACAGTTACTTTCTCATTCTTTAGAAGCATACTTGGAGCACAGGGTCCAGGTTTTTTAAAAATGAGCTGGACTTCTACCTTCTGCTTCATACCAGCCCAGAACTTTTAGAAGGAAGACAGTGGCATCCTCTCCCATTGCATGTACAAAAGTTCATTGGGGGCTCTTCCAGAGAATTTGTTTTCTATTTTGTGCTTGATTCAGTGTGAATTTTATTGGCATTTTGTTCACCATCCACATGGCATCACGCTTGTCTACATTCTAACAGTGACAAAATATGTGACCTCTGTGCTTCTTTTGTCCCATCCTGAGTATGGTTTTAATATTCACTTTGGTTTGTTCCAGAGGTGGAGTTTAGTGCTATCATATTTTCCAAATCACTACAAAGACACACTCAAAATGGATCCAGGAGGAAACCAACTTATACCAACTCTAACTGTGTTTTCAAAGTAAGTGAGATATTTAAGGAGTGGTTTTAGCAGGTCCCAGTGAGATTCTGACTGGGGATTTGATCCCAGGCTTCCCGAGTCCTAGGCCATCACTATACCACACTGAGTATTGCTGACTGAGGCTATCTGTGCCAAATTCCCATTTCCCTTTTTTTTAAAAAAATTGTGCAGGATTTCTGCTCTCTTTGGCATCTGTAGCCACCTTAACATTGAGCCACAATGCTACGTTCCTCTCCACCTATGAAGGAGATACCTGTCCTAGGTATCCTAGTCCTCTAGGTGAGCAGGAGCAGAAAGGGTGGGTGAAAGAAAATCTCCTACCAAAGCCTGGACATGTCTGGCCCAAGCCAACTTTACAGTCTGAGTCACAAGAGCAAATGGAGCTTCTCTCCCTTACCCAGGTCAAAATGCATGGTTCCCTCAAGCCAGCCAGCGCTCGCTCACTCACTTTCTCTTCCTTCCTTCCTTCCTTCCTTCCTACCTACCTTCCTTCCTTCCTTCCTTCCTACCTACCTTCCTTCCTTCCTTCCTTCCTACCTACCTTCCTTCCTTCCTTCCTTCCTACCTACCTTCCTTCCTTCCTTCCTTCCTGCCTTCCTTCCTTCCTTCCTTTATTTATTTATTTATTTATTTGCATGCAAGGCAGAAAAACTCATAAGCATCTCTCTTTACCACAGGAAGTTTTAAAAAAAGATTAACAAGGTAAATCAATATGAACTTGCTTTGTTCCTATGACAGCTAATATGTGTGGCCTGAGGCACGTGCCTCATTTTTTCCTGACAAGTGTGCTGCCCTTTGACCACGCAAACAGGGTGCCCTTCCCTCACAGAAGCAAACAGATCAACTAATACTTCCTTTAGTGGTTGCCTCATTGGGTGGGAGAGATGCTCACCTACTGAACCTGCCAGAAAGCTCATCAAGAACACAGAAGGAATGGGATTTTATAGAAACTTATATATACAGCTTTCACATATCATGTGCAACAAACGCTCTGCACATGATAACTCCTGATGATCTCACACTTCTCTCACCAGTTCATATTTATCCCTGTACTTTTACATCCCTGGATAAAATCTCCCTTTGTACTATTGCGTAAAATATATTCCTTGCCCAAGCTGAAAGTTTTAGAATTTAGGGACTGAGAGATGCCATGAGCAGCTCCTGAACATCTCTGAGATGCTCCTAAATGGAATGTGTAAAAATGAATTCTTTGGGCTACTGGAATCCTGCAATGACCATGTGGGCTAGTGGGTTCTGGGAATGGTAGTCCAAAGAAACAAATATTCCAAACTATGTTTCTAAGGAGGAGTTTAAAAAATGAAAAGGTAGTTTCTGATCTTCTGTTGTGGGTCGTTGTATGCATCACTAACTTAGATTCCCTGCCTAGGAACATCTTGTCACTACTGGACCAAATCAGATCTTCAAAACATGGATAGCAATCTTATACATGCTTAACATGAAGGAAGCAGCTATGCTGCACTGTAAACAAAGGTTAGGTCACACATTCCCTATTCTTGGCCTACAAACTACAGTAAGTTATATTAGTGGTAGGCCTGTCAGCATTTTTGTTAATACCCCTTAGTATACAGTAGGGTTCTCAGATATGTGTTACTATTTACAGAAATTATAACACCCCTACCATCAGTGTAATTTAGTCCATAAGATCAAAGAAACCAAAAGGAAATTTAAATCAAGATTTAGGACATTGGAAGTGCAACAGTAGAATCTATTATCCAATCAGGATAAAATAAATTTAGGGTGTAATGCAAACGATCTACTAAAGAACTATACAAAAGGGATTGAAGGAATATTGATTCATTCAAAGAAGAATCCTTTGACGAAGAACCTCCAATTTTAAAAAGTGATGTGAAATTCGCTCTGAAAGCAATTAGAAGAAATAAGTCACAAGAAGGAGATAGAATACGAAGAGAACTTATTTTAAGCTACAGAGACTGGATCTATGAAAATCCTAGCCAGAATGTGCCAACAGATATGAAAAGCTAATAACAGGAAAGTTCAATGTATATTTCTAACCTAAAGAAAGGAGGTGCCAAAGAGTGTAGTCACTATAGGACTGCTGAATTAATCTCTTAATTAAGCAGAGTGGCGTTTATGATTTGACAACAAAGATTTCATCCCTATATGGAGTGAGAAACAGCAGATGCTGAAGCTGGTTTCAGAAAAAGAAGAGATACTATAAATCATATTGCAAATATACTGGAGTGTACCAAAAAATTCAGAAGCAAATCAGTTTGCACCTTATAGATTACTGTGAAACCTTTGACTTTGTCAGGGAGCAGGCCAGGTAAGTGGGGCTCATCAGCCTTGGAAGGCAGCCCATCTAGGAGAAGAACTCCGATTTCAAACCTCCACTGCCTTGTGGCTACATCCACTGATGGAAAAGGCTGCAGGAGTTAACCTCAAGGCAAAATCCAGAGCTGGAGTCCCAGAGGCAGTTTGTGTCATTCTGGCAACTACTGTGACGTTGCTGAAACCAATTGTATTGGTTCTTGCCTTTCCATTGGACTATTTCAGCAATGTGGAGAGGGGGGATTTGCTGCTTGGGTAACAGCCTATCCTCCATATTATTTTACCCAGGCTTTGTGCTCTGGAGAGGACACTCCAGCTTCACATACAGCGTCAAAACAGCACAGGAAGTAGGAGTTACTGGTTAAAAGAGCACAGCAGATGGAACACTGGGTGCAACACTATTTTGAGCTATATTCCAGAGAGAATGTAGTAACCGAAGAGGCACTAAATAACATTGAGTGCCTGCCTGTCTTGGAAGAGTTGGACAGCGAACCAACTTTAGCAGAAATAAAAGCGGCCTTGGATTCCCTTGCCTACGGCAAGGCACCTGGAAAAGATAACATCTCTGTTGAAGTGCTGAAGTGCTGTAAAGTGACCATCACCACCAAACTGTATGAAATCTTTTGTCTTTGCTGGAGGGAAGGTGGAGTACCACAGGACATGAAGGATGCAAACATCATCACATTGTACAAGAACAAAGGAGACAGGGGCTACTGTAATAACTACCATGGCATCTCTGTTCTTCTCAGTGTTGTAGGGAAGCTGCTTCCCATGTTGTGCTGGAGAGACTCCAGGTGCTTGCAGACAGAGTCTATCAAGAGTCACAGTGTGGATTTCGAGCTAATAGATCCACCACTGACATGGTATTCTCCCTCCGACAGTTGCAGGAGAAATGTAGGGAACAACAACAGCCACTCTTTGTGGCCTTCATAGCTCTCACAAAGGCCTTTGATTTGGTTAGCAGGGATGGCCTTTTTAAAATTCTTCCCAAGATTGCATGTTCCCCTCGACTCCTTAACATCATCAGGTTCTTTCATGAGGAAATAAAGGGCACTGTAGTTTTTGATGGCTCAACATCAGATCCCTTTAAGATATGAAGCAGAGTGAAACAGGGCTGTGTCCTCACGCTGACCCTGTTTGGGATCTTTTTTGCTGTCATGCTGAAGCATGCCTTTGAAACTGCAACAGAAGGTGTCTATCTCCAGACTAGATCAGATGGAAAGCTCTTTAATCTCTCTAGATTGAGAGCAAACACCAAAGTCCAACTGAAATGCATGTGGGACTTCCTCTTCGCCGATGATGCAGCTATTGTTACCCACTCTGCTGAAGACCTCCAACAACTCATGAATCACTTTAGCAAGGCCTGCCAAGAGTTTGGATTAACAATCAGCCTGAAGAAAACACAGGTCATGGGCCAGGACATGGACTCACCTCCCTCTATTACCATCTCCACACAAGAATTGGAGGTTGTTCATGATTTTGTGTACCTTGGCCCAACAATCTCTGACACTCTCTCCCTATATGTCGAGCTGGATAAACGCATTGGGAAAGCAGCTACCATGCTCTCTAAACTCATAAAGAGAGTATAGCTCAGTAAGAAGCTGATGACATATACCAACATCCAGGTCTATAGAGCCTGTGTCCTGAGCATACTCCTGTACTGCAGTGAGTCCTGAACCCTTTGTGCACGGCAGGAAAGGAAGCTGAACACCTTCCATAAGAATTGTTTCTGATACATATTTGGTATCACCTGGCAGGACAAAGTACCCAATAGAGTAGTCCTAGAAAGAGCTGGAATTTTTAGCATATATACATTACTGAAACAGTGACGTCTACATTGGCTTGGACATGTCATGAGAATGGCTGATGGTCAGATTCCAAAAGATCTCCTGTATGGAGAATTAGTGCAGGGAACTCACCCCAGAGGGAGACCACAGCTGCGATACAAGGATATCTGCAAGCAGGATCTAAAGGCCTTAGGAATGGACCTCAACAGATGGGAAACCTTGACATCTGAGCATTCATCCTGGAGGCAGGTGTTGCATCACAGCCTCTCCCAATTTGAAGAGACTCTTGTCTAGCAGGCCGAGGCAAAGAAACCAGCAAAACCAGGGGGCTGGACAGGGGACAGATTGTATTTGTTTTCAGCGTGGAAGGGATTGTCACTGTCGAATTGGCCTTCTCAGCCACACGAGATGCTGTTCCAAGTCCTTCATACAGAGCACATTACCATAGTCTATCAAGACTGAAGGATGCCTAATCTTTGACTTTGTATATTAGAACAACTGAAAGGATATGTTGCAATATTTGAATGCCCTGATACATAACCTGTTCTCAGGACAAAAGGCTACTGTTAGTACAAAATATGGTAAAATAGAGTAACTTTGGATTGCTTGTCAGACAAGGGTATATTTAATTTCTGTATTCCTTCAGGCTACATTCTGATCATATTGGATAAAAATTATACTATCTTCAGATCTGGGAGTAATGAAAACAGGTGGAAGAAATATTAGTATTCAAGATATGCAGATGATGTCATATTAGAGGCAGAAAATAGCACTGATTTGAAATACTGAGGAAGGTTAAAGAAGAAAGGGCAAAAGCATATTATGGCTGAGCATTATGAAGATAAAGATAATGGTCACAGAAAAATTACATAACCATGATGTTGACAATAAAGAGTTTAACTTGTTAAAAATAAGTTCTATACTTTAGTTCAGTCATGAATTCAAATGGAGACTGCAATCAGGAACTCAAAAGAAGACCTAAGCAGCTAAGAAGGAGGTAGAAAAGATTCTTAAGAGTTAAGTATGTGACTGCAAGTCAAGCCCAAGGTCATCTATACTATAGAATTCCCAGTACCAATGTACTTAGTGTCAACAATGGACAGTGAAGACATTTTAAAGGAGAATTAAAACTGGTTCATTTGAAATGCAGTGCTGGAAGACAGCTTTACAGATATCATGGACTACCAAAAGGACAAATAAGCAGATTCCTGATTTCTTTTGGCAAAAATAAAATTTATTTTATTTTATTTATTTATTTTATTTATACCCCGCCTATCTGGTCACTGTGACCACCTGAGGCAGGCCTGTTAGTGATAGGATCTTTGGAGGTCCTTAATTCAGATGGCTCCCATACATTGGAAGGGGCTTGATGACCCCTAACAAGGTAGGAGTCACCTTTGGAAGAAATCAGACTCCCATCATATTCGCCTAAAGGCAGCCATTTGCTGTTAACTGTTGCCTACAGTACAAGCAGCCTAATGTTAGCTTCTCTTCCTTGTTCTCCCTTCCTTTTCACAGGGAAGAATTTCATAGAGCCCTGGCTTCTCAGAAGACTGAGCATCTGATGCTTACGTAAACCCATAAATGGGTCTCGCAACAAGGTATCTCTGGGAAAAACGAACCCATGCTTCCTCTGCTTGCAAAGATGCCTGCTAAAGTCACTCCCCCCCCCAACCTTCTCCCATCCTCACAATACAACACTGAGTGGTAACCCAAGGTACCCCTTACCTTGTCTCATGGGAACGCAGCTCGATTCTGTTGCCCGCAAGGCTGTGCTTCACTCAGACTTTGGCTCCTGCTGTAAATTAGCTGATCAATCATTAACCGAAATTAGTGCATCAGCCCAATTTCCTTGAATGGTCTTGTCTTGTTTTCTTCCTGAGGCTTCTTGGGAAGCTGCCCAAAAGGTGCCCGTGCACCCCACTGTCATCCTTCGTGGGAAGTCGACCTGCAAGGGAATCTCCAAACAACTGGCCTCCATTTCCACTGGCAGGCTGTTTCTTAGACCCCATGGCTCACTGTCTCCTATGCTAGGCACAAGTCCAGTCCAATAGCTTATGGCCCCTTTTCTCCCCCTGCTGCCGCTGTCGCCACCACCACCACCTATGTGACATCGGGGGCCAGGGTACCTTACCTGTTACACTAGATGCTCTGTGATTTTCAGTCTCAAATGAAAGGTAAACACGGGCATATCTAAAGGGATAAATCAGTTGGAGAGAAAGACCATGCTTAGGGCAGCCTTTCCCAGCTACATGACAGGCACCACTGGAATACTGGTATGAAATTGGGAGAGTCATCACCCTCCAGGTGTCTTTTGCCTTCAGCTCCTATTAGACCCAGCCAGCATAAAGATGCAGTTCAAAAACATTTGGAAGGTCACAGTTGCCCATCCTACCTCTAGGGGAACTCAGTGTCCACACCTTGCCTGGTTGCTTTTGAGCCCCTCCTGTTGCTCCCCTCCTCTGTTCACGATGAGATTTCCCAGGTAGAGGCTGCAAGAAAACAGCTGCTAGCCTCACAGTGACCAGGGCTGGTGAACATGTGACCTTCCAAATGCTGAGTTGCAACCCACACCATCCCTTATCCGTGACTGTACTGGCTAGGGATGGTGGGGACTGCAGGACATCCAAGTTCTTCGCCCTGGTTTAAAGCTGCATCCAGCTCCTCTAATGCTTCAGGGGCGGGAGCGAGGAGGAGAGCTTGTTTCGTTTTACTGATGTTTAGAGTCCCTGCCCTCGTTTGGTTCTTTGCTCTTTTCTACAAGTACGTGGCAGACAGAAATAAAAGTCCCACGTCCTCCACAATTTGGTTGGCACACAAGAGGGAGACATCGCACCTGCTCCATTAGGCAGGAGTCTGAATTACTCTCTTACCCCAGGCTCCTGAGCGTGATCTTTTTGCCTCGTGGTCCCTTTCCCTCTCAGGCTTTGTGTTTAGGGGCCCTGCAGAGGCCAGGGAGGAAGGCAGAGGCAACCATTTCCAGGCATGGCAGGTTTGTGCCTTTGACTTTGCATTGAGTCAAACTGACAAGCAAGAGGATTCATCAGACAGGGGCTTGGTGAGTGTGTGTACATGCTGTGGGGTGGGGAGCGAGCAGCCACAGCCTCCCCAGTGACCTACTTACGGGAACAAATGAGGATTGTGCTGTCTCCATTCAAGCAGAAGAGAGCTCAGGCAAGAGGAAGCGATGAAAACTGTGGCTAGCCCAAGGGAGGGCTATTGGGGCTCAGGAGGGTGCTGTCGCAGCAGAGGCACTCCTGTCAAAGGTGGGGGAGTGCCAGGATGCAACCCTGATGATTTACTGCCACTTCCACCCTCACTTGGGACCTTTCAGGAGGAGCTTTCTGCTGGCGAGAATTTGAGTGGATGCCCAGTTTCTAGTATCTTAGCATGCTGTCCGTCAAAGGCAAACCAAACAAAATTGACTTAGATTATAAGAAGCAAGATACTTCATGATTTTACTACAATTTCAAGCCTCAGTAACAACATGGAGAAACTGAAGACACAATGATTCATCACAAGCAAAAAAAAAAACAACTGCTTACAAAGCCTGATTCATTTTTAGATAAGCTAAGAATAAAATATATTAAGCCAAAGAATTAAAAGGTTGAATAAAATTAGACTAACAGCTGGAGTTAACCATTTTAACTTTTCTACATCTACAGCCTTTTTCTACTTCTACAGTCATAGAGTGGGAATTTAAAATTAAAACTTGGTTATCAAAATGGGTTCCTTGCTAACATCTGAGGGCCTGTCCAGCATAACATTGTTTAATTCATTCCTGAAACTCAAGATAGAGAATCTGTGGCTCTTCCAGTGATGTTGCAGTAAACTCCCATATTTTTGACCACTGGATATGCTGCCTGGGGCAGATGGGCCCTGGAGTCCAGTAACATCTGGAAGATGACAGTTTTTCTGCTCCTGCTGTAATCTCACTCAATTGAGTCAAAACGGTCAATCCAAAATTTTCCCCCAAAGCTTTAAAATAGCACATGAGGTTTAATGTGTTCACTCTCATTCATTAATTATTTTATTTTTCGAATGATCATTAAGCAACATGAGTTTGGGCTCTTGACTTAGCAAAAGCTTTTGATGATAGAAAAACTGGCAGACCTTTAGCAATCATTTGGATTCACTGACATTTCGCTTTCTCACTAAAGGGCAGAGGAAGGAATAAGAGGAAGAACTTTATGTGGTTCAGGCATCGGCTCATAGGTCGACTCACCTGTGACTCATGCCATGCTGCTCCCTTGTGCACGCTCTGTGGTGGTGGTGACGTGGGTGGCACTCATGAAGAAGAGAACAGAGGGTGCGGGGCGAGGGGCGGGGAGCGACTGGAGCTGAGCACAAAGTTTTCTGATGGGCTGATAGAGAAACATGACAAGAGGCCACATAGACTTGAGAAAGAATGGAGTGAATGGAGAAGACAAGAGGTGGGGCCTAGAAAAAGGGGCCGGGGAAGTGGGAGAGAGAGAGAGAGAGAAGTGGCAGGAAACAAAGGTTACCGCAGAGTGTGCTGCCTACCGCAAGAACTAAGCAAAGTATGTATACTGGGGAATACGGGTTACTTCTAAGTAAGCATAAGCATGTGGGAGTTAAGTGTGCACTGAACCTGGTCCAGATCTGGCATGCCACAAGCAAGCAGGGAGGGTTCTTATTTGTTGTTTTTATTGTTGTTTCGTCGTCTTTTAGTCATGTCCGACTCTTCGTTACTCCATGGACCATAGCACACCAGGCCCTCCTATCTTCCACTGCCTCCCGGAGTTGTGTCAAATTCATGTTGTTTGCTTGTTGTTTAGTCATCTCTAAATGGCACTCCTAGGAAAGCTGCTTTCAAAATGTAGCAGCCTCTATGCTGTCTCATCTGATTTCCTTCTGTCCACACCGAGCACAATACAGTACAGTGGTGCCTCACACAGCGATCACTCCGTAGAGCGACAAAATCACTTTGCGATGGACTTTTCGCCATCGCAAAAGCGATCGCTTTGCGATGGTTGCTATGGGGGAAATTCGCTTTGCGATGATCTCAGGGAAGCGATCATCGCAAAGCCCCTATTTTTGGTCAGCTGATCGGCAGTTTCAAAATGGCTGCTGGGTAAACAAAATGGCCGCCCACTGTTTTCAAGCACGGATACCTCGCTTTAAAGACACCGAAAATGGCGCCGCTATGGAAGATCGTTGCTTAAAGGTGAGTTTTTAGCCCATAGGAATGCATTAATCGCATTTTAATGCGTTTCTATGGGCTTTTTATTTTCACTTAGCAATGTTTTCACTTAGCAGTGATTTTTTCTGCACAGATTAACATCACTAAGCGAGGCACCACTGTATTAGAACTAGAAACTAGTACTGAAAAACATCTGATTGGCTAAGCACACGTTCTTTTACTTTCCTAATTAGCTTACTTTGTTTTGTGTTTGCTTATCAAGAGATAGAGGCTTCCTTTGTCAGGTACAAAGCTCAGAGGGAGTGGTTTCAGGGGAAAGTTGACTTGCGTTACTGTCCTAATGACATGCTCTCTGTTTTGTTAAATTTTACCGTGGATTTTAAAAAACATTCTGAGTTCCACCTCAACTTTAAAGGGTAGCATACAATAAAAAAGCTACTGTAGATGAGAAGTTTTCAGATCAGTAACAAAAAAAAATCTAAAATAGATTAATCTTCTACTAAGATTAATAAGATTTTA